ATTTAACAGTAATTAAAAGCGGTTAGGGATTGATTTCGGTGAACAAATATTTAGGGAATTGAGAATATCTAAAACTTAGTGCTCATAAGTGGGAACGTATTTTGGACATTCCTCTTTCCAACGACAGAGTCTTAGGATCAGAAACACTGAAGAAAGTTAGTTTTGTCTTTTCTCTTTCATAATGTACATCATCCCTATCACTCAACATTTTCACTTCCCCTGACTTTAAAGTGTTAGGCATTACATAGGCATATAGTCTGTTTTTTTCTCCACAGTATGAAATATGAAGCTCAGTATTATCCAATCCTCTTATTAGAGACAGAAAGAATAAAAATATGGATGATCTTTAATGAGGATGCTGTTTTCCATCAGGGAATTTATTCCAATTCCTCCAACAGTTCACCATCTATTCTAACCGTCATTGCCATTAAAAGACAAAACTCAGCTGAATCACTGATGGTTTGGCGGGGGAAATGGCAGGCTTTATATCTGTCTCAGGGAAATTGCCCTGTGGTATAGACAGACACAGACATTTGTCTAAACATACCAGTCTTGAGCAGTTCTGAACTCGGTAAGTAAGATCAGAATCTGTCCCCCTATTTACAAATATGATATTGAACTTATTTTTCAGACCATCAAGAGAAACTACAAAATGGCAACCATAGAGTTTTAATCAGTAATGTTACCTGATAACTTAATTACTCTCCCCACAAACACATAGTTGACACTTTGGAAATAAATGAGAGATTATTGATTTTCAAGAAACTAAATAAAGTGTGTGTGTAAAATGTATGTTTGCACGTATAGTGTACAGACACGCTTTTCTTTCATTAAATAGTCAGTGTACATTTGACTTTGACAAATGGCCAAAAGACAAGAAAAGTCATTTAAAACGACTTTGAAGAGTTACAGGAAGGGAAAAAAATGAAAAGGATTTCATAAACGTGTACCAGGGGAAAGAAATAGAATTAAAGAGGGAAACCAGCTGAAGAGAGAGAAAAGAAAACAATATGCTATTTTTATTGAAAACGTTCAGTGTACCAGACATACAGATGATCACTTATAGATTATATAAATATTTTCAAAATAGATTTTTTTTCTAGATAGTACATGTGTTTGTACGTAAAAACCCTATTTTCTTCTGATTAAAATTTAGTTCTAAAACTTACTCGCAAGGTCATGTAGATAGAAAGATTGAAAAGGTCTGATCTGCTAACATAAGGAACTTTCTAGCTTACATAAAAGTATGTGGATAAAATATGTAACATTCCTCTCAGTATTCGCAAAAGAGAGCATATAAAATATATTTGAGAAAAAAATAATCCTAAAGCATGTCAGATAAATCATCAAATCTTCCCCGAGAAAGTTTAAAAACAACGAAACCAGCTTGCATCATTTTTCTTGCTACACTTGCAAAGGAAAATACATCTTAGTTAATGTTTTTCTCCTATTAAGTAATTTAGGAGGGCATTAAATAATCAGACCCAAAAAGTAATTTATCAATATTAAATATGGCCAACTACTTAAGATTTTATCTTTTTAAAAATATCTTTAATTAAAAGGCTGCCTAGCTGATAAAGTCGTTTTTAGAAACACCTTTGTCTTTGGTAGAGGCTAATGTGATACATACTGACATATTCTCTAGTTTTGAATTTCCATTTTCCCCACAGTAGAAAATAAAATGATTTCTTAGGGGCGCGATCGTTGTTTTAGAACAGCTAGTTATATTAGAGTTTTGCAGTTATTTTTTTTTAACGAAGACAATGGTACCACATAACAAGGATTCAGAATCCCAGACCACTGATGGTCTCGCTAGATATTGAGTTAAATCACACTAAATGCAAAGCAGAAGAACCAATCGGAAACGATCCACCCCCAGAAAAATAGTGAGAACATGAACTCACTTTAACAATAATTTTATGCATTCCGAATATTTTAAAGGGGTATTGCATCAAATAATATTAACGATAAAACTCCCGTCACGATCTTAGATAGATTCTGATATTTCAATTCGGATCAGGAAAGAGAATGCTTTTTAAAAATTGGCAACAGGTTTTTTTTTCTGGTCCGTTAACAGCCTAAATCAATTAGTTCCCTCCACTATTGTGGATTCATTTTTAAACAAATGTAACATTAGTTTGAACAGGAATTGTAACAAATAATGCTGCAAATCATTACTAACTAGTCCCCTGTCCTTATGAGTTATGCATTACCTTAGAATGATCAGAGAGGCAAATGCAGGAATCTATACTAAACAGAGGCTGAGTGAAACATACTAATAAGCAGTGTGCCTCTTGCTGCGTCGACTAACTAACACGTAAATAGCTCGATTTATAAGCTGGAAGGCTCTAGATACTTTGCTAAAATGACAGTGAAATGATGAAACATACAGAGGGCGTCTCTCCCTTTGCACACATCCTGAGCACCCAAACAAAAGGGAAATGATGGCTTCAAGTCACAACCATCCGAACAGGAAGATGCTTTAACGGGAGAAGACGCGAGACTTAGCCATATACTTTACTGTCACTTTCTTGCCTGCTGTCAAGTAAGTTGCTGTCAGGCTCTTTAGCTAGGTTGGGCTCTGGCTCGGGAGCCTCCAGGGGCTGTAATTAACAAGCTGTCTGGAAGCACCAGAGCTCATCAAGCTGCTCTGACCAGGACGGAAGCCCCTTTCCTATAGGCCAGGTGCACCCTGACTCTTCTATGTATGCCGGGTGGGAGTGTAGCTGTGAAAAAGTTTTGCGGTTGGATTTTTCTTGAGCAAGAAATCCAGAGGAGAGAGAAGGGGAAGCGATCTAAAAAGGGCAGTTAAGGAAAAGCTCCATCTTAAAGAGAAGAGAGGAATAGGGGGACTTGGGAGGGACATCGGTAGCAAGTTTATCCAGAAAAAGTTACAAGGTGAAAACGAAAACTTAGCTGGGGAGTTCAGAGTCACCGACATTGGAAAGCGCAGAATGAGTCTTCTAAGAGGGGACGAACAAGGTGACCTCACAGCTGAACCATTATCCAGGTTCCGGGGATCTTACAAACTGAAGTGGGTCAAATCGTAGACCAGCAACTAACTTTCCCAAAGAGATCGGGATCTTTCTGAGGCATCAGCCCCGCAGGGAAAGGGGGTTTGGCTGAGCTGAGTGAAGGAGGGATAGAAAGTTGTGTCTGAAAGTGAACTCAGAACTAGGCGCTGTCCGTGGTGCTAAGGCGAGAGACAGAACAGCCTCACGTGTGACTTCACTTCGTTTTGCCCTAGCTTCGGACCGAATCCTGACCGAGTTAGGGACATAAGGACGGCAGGGAAGGTTCGTTTTTCATCCATGTGAAATCATTTCCCCCCCCATAAATCCACAGTTTAGACACCATCTTTCGGGAGTTCTACGCCTTCCCCCATGCCCTTATAAAGCCGGACTTGAATCGTATTTCGGTTTAAGCGGGGGGGGAGGGGGGGGCAGATTTACGATCGTGTATTTTAAAACATACTTTCCCTTTCGCACGAGGAAGTCTTTTCGAGGCAGATAAAAGGAAGCTGAGCTGAAGTTTTTCAGGTTCAGACAATTTGATAAAGTGTTTGAGTAAATGCAGAGGCATTACCCCAGTTTATAAATGAAATAACAATATGCACGTACACCAGGTATGATCTAGAGTGACATTCAACAAAGATAAACGGTAGAAAAAATAAATCTATTTGACAAGGTCATTTGCCATAAATATATTTTCACATTTCTTCTCCACTGATTCGTTAACGTGAAGATCCTTAGGACAAATGGGCACAAAATCAGCCTTAGTATTTGCAAACTACCTGAAAACGCACAAACAACTGCTATAGAGAACTTATTTTCCTCTTGATTATTCATATCCCGGTTGCATTTCCTATTACAGAATTTAATTGTTACTTTGATTCTTATGACAAGAGGCAGATACTAAAATATGGGGAAACCTGAAAAGCCTTGCAAGAGCTAACACAACCAAATAACTGGGACCCTGTTTTCCCCAGCATTAAGTAAAAAGCAAATTAACAATGTTTTGGCAGGAAAGCCGGGGGAGGAGCGAGATCCTTCAAATTCAAACAGCATTTCAAGTGTATTTGAAGGGGGGTGAGAAAAAATCAGTCTTTAGCTAAGACATTAACAGGTCAGTGGGAGCTAGAACCCACATTTCAATCGTAAGAAAAGGGAAAAGAATCAGAAACAACTGGCACAATGATCGACACTGACAGCATTTGACTTCATGTTTGTTACCAACTACTAGATCAATATTTGCAAGATCCCTGTAGTCTTAATGGGCTTTCCCTCAAAAAGTGCATACAGGCAACACCTTGGCATAACTGTGGAGAGTTAGTTTGACAGTTAGCTGTTCAGGGGCTCACATCAAGTACTTTTGTAAGGAGGAAAACACGATTTTATCATGTAAAAAGCCGCGCTTATCAAGAGAAGGTGTGAAACTGTCCGCTGGGGTGGGGGTGGCGAAGCTATTTATCTAATTGGTGTGTCAGAGATCCCAGCTTTAAATAAATCGTTTGAACGCAAAAGTCTAGAGATACTAGTTTGCCAAACAGTAGGGGATTAGGTGGGGCTTGAGTAAAGAGAAGTGAAAACGACGAATAAACAAAAAAGAAAAAGAGAAAGAAAACCAGGCCTTGCCTCCGAAGGGTCACTTCTCTTCTGTGTAGAATTCAGTGGAAAATAACTGACTTTTGTCTCAGTCAGGATGGGCGCTTGTCCCCTGGAAATAGTTATATTTACCTGACCTCAATAGATTCATATAGGTCAGCTGCAGTGGGGGGACAGGGGGAAAGGTAGTTAACTGCTTAATTTTAGTTGCAAACATTTGCTGTCGGGAAATCAATTTGATCAATTTCCCTCTAAAGTTTTGGGGGCAAAAAGGATCCAAGATGCAGACACATAATGCAGAAATCTGCTCAAGATTCGGCGTGTTCACTTTTCTTTTCGTCTAGTCATCTGATGTTTGGCTGTACTCAGATTCCTTTTGTTTTATTTGTTTTGCAGAACCCCTTTGAAGTCTTTTCTACAAGACAAGTATTAGACATATCTAAAAGGTGATACAATTTCTGGCGGGAGCGGAAAACGAAGTTATTCCTTTTTCTAACAAGGAAAAAAAAGGTGAGATGTATCGTTGTCTTTTGTGACTATTAAAACCAGGCACATTAAAATCATTGCTGGTTATTTTTTCTTCATCTATAGACGTAACTAACGAAGTTTTCAGGGTGAAAAAGTTTGGCCAAAAGCAGATTCCTTCGGATAAGCATTTTCATTCATTTGAAATAACGTAGCACTCCCATATCCTTTCCTCTTCAGATTCAAAAGGTACAACTTTCCAATCTATTTATTTTACATGACGATGACTGAATCGTCTGTACCTGGTAAATGGTAAGAAAATTAGTGCCACGTTACCTGAAATGAACCGTTTCACAAAATTCCTTTAAAAAGGGAATTTCTTAGTAAAAGGACTAAGGGAACCCAAACATAAGCTCTGAAATCTAAACTCAATTCCCTGGAGGCAACAGATAGTCAAAATTACCATGACTTTATAAAACAAAAATAACATAAATAGTGCTTTAAGAAAATGCTACAGAGCGCTACCACTTGCTGGCTACCTTCCGCTCTGACTAATGCCCCAGAAGTCTAAATATACAAAATTTTAAAAAACCCAACAATTTTTACTTCGTTTTTTGGGGCACCTTTACTTTTAATGTTGGTTTGTGGGTCTCACTAAATACTTTTCAGAAGAATACATTTTTAGCAAGTTCAAAATTCACACTGTGTCATAACTGGGGCATGCGATTATTGTGCAATTGATGGACCTGAATAAATCCTGTTGCACAGAAAATCAATTTTGTTCATATTTATGTCGAATTGTGTGTATTATACACACAGAGAGAGAGAGAGACACAGAGAGCGTTCCAGTTAAGGAATAAAACCTTGCTAAAATTTAAAAACAAACCCCCTCTTAACTATATGTCTGATGGATGGGAGTTGATTGTCCAAACTTGTTGTTGCTGTTGCTGTAAATTTGAGTTACAGTATTAGGAATAGCGAAGTTTAGAAGTGCTATAAAGCTGCTTGTCTAAATCTACTTTGAAGTAATGCTAGTGGGTCTAAAATCCAGATTTTCTTGTTAATCTCTAGTTTTTGCCTTCAAACAGAACTCAGTTACAAAGAGCTTGGAAAGAGTTTTGCATCTATTCAAGGGGCACACAATCTTTAATTTTCTGAGGAGTAAAAACTCCCCAAGAAACTTCATATAGCTTCTTAAGTTTTGCTTAGCATACGTGATAAAACATTGATTGTCGCAGTTTGGTGACCCATGAAATTTGGGGGTTAGTTTTCTCTTTAGACCAGAGCATATAATTATGCAAATAAAGAGCTGTCACTGATCTGGTGAAATAGCCACAAACACATGCAATCCAAAATGAGACAGAAAAGTGAAAATTTGAGGTCTTATGATGGATGTTACAGTGACAAATGACATCTCCTACCAAGTTTCTCGAGAAGTTCATTTTTCACACTGTATAGAATGTCACCATAATGCAC